TCCGACCGAATCAGGTCTGCAAACAGCGACGCGTTACGAAGCGGCCCAGCGTGGCCACCTAAGCTTCAGTGCAGAGAGCACCCACAAGTTCCACATGAGCGGCGTCTGTGGAGAGCCAAACAAAACGCACAGATAGTCCTTAATATGAATTTTCAAACAGTAGGCATAATCAAGCCATCTACTATATAACTATTTACTTAATTGTGCAGTAGCTGATTTCAATCTGATAATCTCTCAACTAGCTAGCCATTTAGATATTTAGTCCTATGCTTATATTTCAACCAAATTTCAAGAGCATCAATACTCAATCTACTATGTAAAACTTGAAAACAAACTGTAATAAATTTATTTCTTGATGCGCAAATCAAAAAAGACAAATTAAGCAAAACGACAAACATAAGAGATAGCTAAAAAGGTTTTTTTTTTTCAAAATAAATATCTTCGACAATGCCAACAAAAATATGAAAACAAAATGAGGATTGATTTTTATTTCTTTCGGCACAAACAGTGTTACTCAATTTCAATTTTCTTTTCAACAAAGCAAACATAATGATTAAATATATTTACAAAACATATGTACAAATATTCAAGGAGTATATCAAATTCACCCTTTTAATCACAACCGCCACAAATATGAAACATTTCGCGGAAAACCCAAAAGCATTTTTATTTTTAATTTAAAGAATTTTTAACCAAGTGCTCGACCAAAACCAAATCTAATACTCCTTGACAGCGTGATTCAACGCTCCAGGGTAGCCCTAATATTCCCACCACCAAGTGGAGGCCACACCGCGTGAACCCGAGACCAATAGAGCGCAAACCGCTAACAGACGCCACTCCGGTTGTACGCCTTCACTGAGGCCGTCGGCAACAGAACAGTTTGACAAGTAGACTGTTGACGGCTCAAAGGCTCAGTGGAGGCGGCCGTGGTGGGAGCTAGGGTGGCAGCTAGCTAGGGCTGCCTCTATCAAAGGGGGGACGGTGGTACACCAGTCGCGGCCACTCAGCTAACGGGGGTGAGAAGGGTCTAGCTGACCGCTGAGTGGCTGTGAAGTTCATCTCCACACGCTGAGGGGGGGCGAGGACACCCCCGCCCCTGGGGGAATCACCCCCGACTGGTCGGGGGAGTGACCCCTTTCAAACCTAGGGGCCCGGTGGCCGGCCGGCGAGCGCCGAGCGTCGCCCGTCAGAGGGCGTGGCTGAGCGCCCCCGCCCGTGGGGTCGAGGGTCGGGCAGAGCCCCGAGAGGAGACGCCGTTCGCACCCAGGCACAAAACTGCATGGTGACCACCCCGGCAATGCGGACAGGGCCGCTGGTGCGGGCAGTCTTGTTGGAGGTGCCCTTCCAGACACGAGTAGCACCAGCGGCGCTCACTGGCGATAGTTCGCCTCGCCGGAACCGGCTTAATTAATAATTTCGGGCACGACGTCGCCCGGTGATCAGATGCTCGACAATAGGAGCAGGGGGGCGCCTCCCTGGCCGCTAGGCCACTGTAAGATGGTAGGGAGCGACGCCCTCCCGCAGGAGTTCCGATAGGCCTGGGTGGGGGTTGACAAAGGTCGATCACACAGGGGCCCATAGCTGTAGGTAGACTCGACGAACAACTAAGGACGAGGACGAATGGCCTGGTGGAAATGTTCTATCCTACTATACTTTAAGGGGAAGGCTAGTCGAATCGAGAGTACTTACCTGTATCTGAGGCGACGACTGTCTCAGGTCTCGGTCAGGCCGGAGGTGTGTATGTGTGTGTTGGTTGTGATAGACCTGACTGAACCGTTGAAGTCGGCAGCAGCCCGGACTTCGGCACCGCTCCAAATTGTGGTAATCTCCAGCGGCATCACCCACAGTCACTTTCTTTCTTCTTCACGATGACAGTCTATTAACTTTATCGTACAATTAACTAACTTCCAGACGCAACTAACTCCCGTTTATTATAAAGCGTAACACACAACACGAGCAACTGACTTTCTGCGCTCGCGCCCTCTATCAAAGCCACTCTGCTCGTCCGAACGTCACAACCGGTATGGCACCGAGCCGAGCGCCCTCCGGCGTCAAATCCCGAAACCAGCGTTTGGGCGTGAAAACTGTTTAATAAAGTTTTCAACCAATAGAAATGTATACTTTAAAATAGGTATTTAGTCTTAAGATTACAATAACGAATAAGAATTTTATTATTAACTAACACGTGATTGATTGTAAGAAAATCAGCAAAATAAATTTTTGTTTTCCAGTCAAATATCATAATTTGCAGACATTTTAGCATGTTATCCAGAGATTTTGATTTCCCCATCTGGCAATCATAAGCCCACCTAATGGCAACTGAACGCGACGCCAGAAACACCTTTCATTTATCTATACTCTATTATTAATAGAAATGCAAATGCGTTCCTGTTATGCTGTTAACATAAAATATTAGTACCTATTCGAATAGGGCCAATTCATTCTTACTGAGTACAACTTCTAATACACTTGCAACGTAGCTAATTCGCGTAAAAAGCTGATGAACATGTGTAAAGATAACATGTCCCCCCCCCCCCCCCCGCCCCCCAACTCCAAGGAATCTAACAAAACACCGGCCAAAGCCCCAGTAATAGCAAGGCAGCCAAGGACTTGTGGCCGTTTCTTTGTTTGTTGGCAACTATATTATAAGTATTGAAATATAGCCCATAATATTTGCCGTAATTGCCACCCTTAGCAAGCGAGTTGGCAACCGCAGTTTTTTGTTATATGCTAACAATCGATGAAAAGAAGACGATGATGACATAGTTTTGTATGGTGATGAAACAACTTTTTTCTACAATTATTAAGTTCACCTGAACGTACCTAATGCAACCTGGTAAACAAATAATGAGGCTCCAACGAACAATAAATTGTAGTTTCAACAATACAGCCTATCAATTTTATTTGTGGTTGAGTCATGTTGCAGTTATATTATAGTTGTTACTGTGTGAGGGTAGAGAGCTGGAGACCCTTTTTATACAACCAAATCTAAGAAATACGTTTTGACAGCTATCAGACTTATAGGACTAGGCATGCCAACCAAAAATTCGGTACGTAGAATATTCGATTCTTTAGAAAAATCGATATCAATTCTTTAGAGTTGGTAATCATTTACAGTTTTGTTTCGATTAATACCAGAATAAATTAGAAACGGATAATTTAAGGTGAAACATACGGTCTGCTCTCGGCCATATTCCCGCGAGATGGTGCTGAAGTCATCATTTTTTAGTTTATTTGGGATTTTGTGTAATTAGAACATTATTAGAAGTAGCTCCCGCGGTACTCGGACATTATACTTTATTGTAGTAGGTTATTGCCTTAAAATCCACACAATTCGACAAAGCCCTAAAATAACATCTGTCATTGAATATAGTGTCGTTTACACACAGAGACGTGGCTGAATTCCTAGTCCCTATGTTTACGAAGATTGAACACTAGATGGCGTGAATGAAAAAAATGCTTTTCTTTTGTCTGTATGGGTTCTATATAATATATTATGTAAGATTCATCATCTATCTAGCCTTTTTTCCAACTGTATTGGGGTCGGCTCCCAGTCAAACCGGATTCAGCTGAATACCAGTATTTTACGATTATGTTATAAAAATAAGTTATATTTGTAGGCGTAAACTATTTAATTCAATAATAATTATGGGAAATACATTCACAAAAGATTTGCAACATAACCAATTATTACAAAATTTTGACATTACATAACACGTAAGAAGATATTCATAAACAAGAGAACAACAAATGTAAAACACAATTTAGTATGCGATAATAACCAGGAAGGTAAAAAAATATTACCTAATTTCAAAGCACACAAATTTCATTGGTGCCGGCAGGGCTCGAACCCGGGTTGCTCTCGTACTGTAAAATTTACAGCGAACGCTAACCGCCTCAGCTACCACGGCTCGTATGCATGTCTACCAATTTTAAAACATTATACTTACATTTATTTCTATTACATTTATACTATTTTTATATAGTATTATTTTATTGATAAATATTTTATTAACCCTTAATTTGGCAAGGAATAAAATGTAATAAAATCATAATTTTTTTTATAAAAATTTATTGTAAACATTTATAGGTGTTACAATAAAATAGTGAAAAAAATATAGGAACTTCAGATTTCCTGAAAAACAATGTATGTCACAGCATACATTGCCAAGTGCCCATAAAAACATTAAGGAAATGTGTTGTATGCCGGGACATACACAGCCAATTACAGTACAAAATGATAATAATAATAGCAGAATGTTACTGTCCCACTGCTGGGCAAAGGCCTCTTCTAGAATGGAAAAAAAACAAGGTGACAACACCTAGAAATGGCCAACTTTACTAAACCCGCACATGGTAGTCTAATTGACAATTCCTAGAACTTTTTCCGGTTACAAAGCACAGACGGACTTGGCATTTTATACATAACACTGACGTTAGCTTTGAACATAGCCTACAACGACCTTGGCTGGTCATTGTCATAAAATGGCCAACATTGTCATAGCGTGACGATTCTACCGGGTTGACTTGTGGTACACGCTTTGTGTGTTTATCGGTACGGGTGCGTCCGAACTTTGTCAACCCCTCAGAAATCTCAAATCGAAAATCCTTGAGAGGCTTCCATTGTTTTTGCGATTTTGAGCAATCTTGTCGGTATAGAAGCCACACATTATTGATACATATGTCGAGAATTTGCGCAAATATGCCGATGTACCAACGCCGGGTCTTGAATGGGGTTTTGTAAAGAGAAATGAGCATATCGGCTAAATCGACTCCCCCCATATGTTTATTATAGTCCTTGACAATTTGAGGGCAATCTACATCCACTTTGTTTTTAGAGTCCTTGCAGTATCTTTTAATTTTTTCTACTGGCTCTGCACCTACGTAAGAACTTATCAATGTTACGGCTTTGTTGTCGTTCCACCGTACCATTGCTAATCGGTTTTTATCGCAGACCACTTGAGCATAACTGCCGCGGGGTTTCTTTTTTATATCTTTTTCTGAGGGCAGAACTGCTTCAGCTCCTCTCAACCTGTTGCTCCTGATTGTTCCCAATCCAAATATTCCATAGTCTTCTCTAAGTATATAAAGTAGCTCCGGGCAAGTAAAGAAATTGTCGCAGAAAACAAAAGCCGGTTTATTTTTTATACTTTTACACAAAGCAATGACAACCTGAGCCCCAAATCCAATGGAAACTTCCTTATCTGTAAAAGTATGAAATCTAAATGTGTCCTCGCCACCATACAAAAGAAAATCATAAATCATGCCCGACACTCCAGCACGAACATAGTTTTTGAAGCCCCACTTGTTGGGTTTATCCTTCATGTATTGACGTCGCTTACCCGCTTTGGTCCCTTTATAGGGAATCATCATTTCGTCAATGCTGTATTTCTTTTCATTATCTTGAGCTAAGCAATTTTCTCGAATTTTTTGTAATAAAGGCCTAACTTTATAATATCTGTCGGAGTCTTGTATATTGTTATCAACAAAATGCAAATGACGACGGATTTGCTGATACCGTTTTAGAGACATCAAATCGGCTATGGGATCGTATCTGTACCGCAAACTCCAGTAATCGGTGTACGAGGGCATACTAATAACACCCATGATAATATGAATTGCTAAAAAATCTCGCAATTCATCTTCGGTCAAGCCAAGAGAGCGCCCAGTTTTTAATACTGCGTATGAGTTTGTTTGCTCTACGGTATCTACTAAAACGTCAGGGGAAAAGAATTTATAGAAATAACCGAGTGAAGTTTCGTTTAATATGTCGGTGTGATTTGAGTCTTCTTCTACAGTTGCCTTGTGTCGAAAAACCGTTTTTTTCCACTGATAGTTCAGAGTGAACTTGGTGATTCGAATAGGTCGTCTAACAGCAGAAACGGTGGGCCGTTGCGATCTGGTATTTCTGGGACGCGACTTGAAAGAAGCCCTTATGTGAGCTGCAACTAAGCCAGTTATGGAGCCACTTGCTGTTGGTTCAGGCGGTGCGGGGGGTTCAGGAAGTGCAGGGGTTGCTGGGGTTGCAGGAGTAGCGGGAGTTGCTGGGAGTGACGGAATGTCACTCAGGATTGGCACTTTTTTACAATTTGGTTCTAGGGACGGGCTTGAATATACGCTTCGAAAAATTGGTGTGAGTCGAACATTCTGGTCGGAGGGGTCTTCATCATCATCTAAAATATTGAGCCTTTCCATTGAGCTATCTATAGAAGATGCAGAGGAAGATGTCGCGGAAAGCGGGGTGCGCACACGTAATTCATCGTCAGAACTTTCGCTACCGTCAGAGGGTGCATGCTCAGCAGGCACAAGCGCTAAAATTCTACCACCACGAGTTAGAAATTTTTGCTGCCGACAAAGAAAATAAAGCGTGCTATAAAACCAAGTAAATAAAAAAAGCATCCTCAAATTGGCAATGTATGCCGTGACATACAAACAAAATGGCGGGTGTTTCGTTACAAACTTGACAGTGTATGTCACGTCATACATCATGTTAGTAATCAAATTAGAACCATTCAATGCAATAGAAACATCACAATTATTATCACACTTATTCCATTACACAATAAAGAATACATTTTAGTCATTACACCTGTCCTAAACTAAGTAATATTCATAATAATATAATAAATACCTTGGACAACGCAGTTGACGTCCGCCGGGTAGCCATTTTTTTCAAGTTATGTCAAAATAAATGTTGCTACATGTGTGTTTATTTTTTCCACCAAATAACAGTTAGTGTTGCAACATAAGAATGTTAATTTTCCATACGGAAGATGTAATTTTTTTAACAAATCTTTTTTTTTAAGTTCATGTATGACGGTACATACAGTGCCAAATTAAGGGTTAATAAATAAATAATTATTAATCTAATAATCATAATAAAACAAAGAATGAAAGATTACCATTGTATAAACCGCCATCTACTAAACTTTCTTGCAACTAAGCCGCAGTAGGATATTATTATTTAGATAATATCATAAATAATAATATGAGATATATTGTTTATGATATTCCTGTGTATATAACTTGTCAAGGTTAACGAATATAATAGAATCAGTCCAAAAAGTTATAGCAGAGTCACAAAATAAAGTAAACATAAAATCACAAAAGTACGCACAGTAAGCTCCCAAAATGGCGGGAGATTGGAATTACGTATTGTTTTCTTCAGCGCGGCTTTGCATATGAATTTCTTTGCCTATACAAATTTACACTGACAAAGTAGGAAGTTATAAAATAAATAAAGTTATTTAATGCGTGATTCATATAATTTAAGCAATTCTAAAAATAAAATTTAAATAAACAAATTAAAAAATTAAATCATTTCAAGATTCGATTAATTCAATATTTTTACCGATTATTCGCATAACAATGAATTTTAATCATTCAAACACTACGGTAAAGATACATAGCTATATATCATTGAAACGTCAGGCAAAAAAGTTGACTGGTTAATTTTTTTATATTTTACTTTTTCTGAAAGATTCGAACTTGAATTAGTGAAATAGAACTATATATGTTGTAATGAAATATAGATAACTTCATGATTCTTTGGATTTGCGTAAAAGGTTATTTTAAATCTTGTGAGTACGCTTGTACAAAGTTATTGCGGAATGATTAATGTGAAACGTCAAAACTTATTTCTTAGATTTGGTTGAGTATAATGATAACTAGGCATTCCATCATAGTTCTTATTGGTGCCAAGTAATTTACATTTTGATTCTTAATTGAGGATAGGTGTCTATGGGCCACGATAACCACTTATCATCAGGTTTATTAATAATGGATCCCTGGATCTCGCCACACGCCATATGAAGAATATGTCACGGTCCCTCCACCCTCACCACCTCCCAACACCCATGATAATATCCGTAAAATTAGTTCTATCCAATGTAACATTCACATAAATATAAGAAATCATTACAAATCCCTCCCTGATCAAACTGAGTCATTCGTACTGTTGCCATAAATAGTCTACAAACTGTATATAAATGTGTATAGGCCTTTACAATATTACTTAGTACAATAAATATGATATGATATGAGTGAAAAAATTCTGTAACAAAATATAAAGGTTCATGGTTTGTGCAGGAATTTAGATTCAAGTTTTATTAATAAAGAATTATTTGCTAATTCAATCAAAAACTCTATAATAACATAATAAAATACATTTTAATTTAACTTTCTTATAATACTTTCATAACATTAGAGTTTGCATCATGTTGCCCATTCCCATTCAATAAATTGAAACATCTATATAAGATGTCTATACTTATATGCCATAAGTTAAGAGTGCTAAAATTGAATCTATCTGATCTTCTAATTTCTGTCTATTTCTTCCATTGTCTATAACAAGATCCCAATCTGTATAATCGTCCAAATCACATTCCGATGCCACATCGTCTATGCCTGCTTGAAAATCAAAACCCCGTTCTTTTCTTGTTTCTTCGTCTGCTGTAATTCTTATAGTTTTAAGAAGTGGGCCATAATTTTCTTTAAACCATTTCATATCAGTTTTACGCCTTATATCACTGACAATCCATACTGTATTGTCAGCAGCTGAAATCAAGTGATTAAATTATTTAATTGTTATGCTAAAAAACATGTGAACTACACCAACATGCATTTGGGCAGTGCGATGGACATTTCCTAGCCCTAAAACCCTCTCAGAAATGAAAGGCCTGTGCCCAGCAGTGGGATGAATATAAGCTGTATCTTTAACTTATATGTTAAAACTGTCAATTTAATGTTCATTTTAAGATTTCATTTTAAATAAAATACTTTATCCATATCCACATTGAATGTCCTCCAAATCGAATATCGTTCAAGGCAGCTAGTCTCAATGGAGCCATCTGGTCAAAACAGGTTTATAGTACAAGAGGGTGTGCACTAGTACAGGTGCAATATCTAACCCCTCACTGTCATAGTCCTATAGGACGGCAATCCGACACGACCGAGAGATCATCATTTACGTGCTTTTCAAGGCACAGGAGTGAAACACCGCCAACTTCCTAACTCCAGGCAGCTATTGAGAATTTCTTGTCAGAAAAATGCAATAACTGATTTCAGCCCAATCTAGGACTTTAGGAGAATCTAATACTTTCTTGAATCGAGTCTAGTACAGTTGAACAAGTCAGTAAATACATAGTAATTAATATTCACATTCTTACACCCTACAACCTACATAGTTAAGGCTATGTAAGAATATCCACTACCCCATATTGTCCTGTGGGTGTCATAAGATGAAACAGGAAATGGGCAGCAGCATCTTCCTGATAACAACTGAAAATATAAAAACTGCAGTTACCAAGCCGCCAAGCCAAACATGGCAACTATGGCAAAATCTCCCCTGTGAGGCAATCTATGGGGGAGGCCTTTGTTCAGCAGTGGACTTTTACAGGCTGTAATGGATGGATTGATGGATGGAATATCCACATTAATCTAATATACGCTGTTGCACAGGGGCAGTGGTGGCTTTAGGACGGGGCATCCCGCTTGATCACCTGAGGCGTCATTGTCAAGTGGGTGACATATGCTCATGTGGCGCCTTGACTCATGAATGAATGATATCATAACCAACTCGGGTTACATCACTACATATTATACCATCAGGTGGGATTTTATTCAAGCACTGGTTTACTAAGGAAATACAATTAGAGGGACAAGTTTTGACACAGGTGTTGCTGAATGGTTAATGTCAACTGCACAGAAAAAAGTCTTCTATAAAATTACAATAACAGACAAGATTGGCAAGTGCAGTATCAGATACCTCACACATTTCAAGAAGGTTGACACATTCACATCACCACCCTCTTACGAGGGCGGCACTGAAAATTTCGGGAATCAAGGAAGTGACACAACATTACTATTTCAAAATGTATTTATTGCTTTTCGAAGTATTCTCCGCGAAATTTGACACATTTTTCCATACGATGGAACCAATCATTGAAGCAACCATTCCAGTCGGAAGTTGGGGTCTCCAAAATGACCGTTTTGTAGGCGTCCACAGCTTCTTCAGGTGATGAGAATCTCTGTCCACGCAATTTATTCTTTATTTTAGGGAAAGTATAGAAATCATTAGGGCTTAGGTCGGGGCTGTACGGCGGATGGTCTAATAATTCTATGTTTTCTTGCTCAAAAACTCTTTTGTTCTGTGTGTGGTGTGAGAACTCGCATTTTTGTGATGGAGGATGATGCGCCGGTTGCAGTTCTCTTTACGAAGTTCAGAAACGACCTGTGGCAAACAAATGCTAGCATACCATTTTGGATTAACCGTTCTTTGTCCCTCAAGAGGAATAGTCCTAACATGGCCGGTTTTGGAGACAAACGTGGCCACCAATTTTTTTGCAACACTCCATGAACGAACAATTTTTGTTGGCTTTAACTGATTTTCGAACACTCAAACTCGTGACTGGTTTTTTGTTTCGGGTTCGTACGCGTATATCCACCGTCACCTGATACGATGTTATATACAGCATTTGAGGATCCTGCGTGGAATCTTTCGAGAGTTCTGACGCACCAAGTAACGCGAGCCGCTTTTTGCTCTTCACAGAGCGAATGCGGTATCCATCGGGAAAACAACTTTTTTACACCTAATTGTTCATACAAGATTATTTGTATTTGACTCATGTCAATGTCTAAAGTTGCCTGAATTTCGCGGTATGTCACATGTCGATTTTCCTCAATCAGCTTACGCACAGCATCAAAGTTTTCTTGGGTGACTGCAGTTTTTGGACGACCTTGACGAGGATCATCACTGAGCTTGACACGTCCACGTTGAAATTCAGCAAACCAGCGATAAATTATGGTTTTGGATGGGGCTTCATCACCAAATGCAGAAATCATCCGATCAACACACTGTTTTTGTGTTAAACCACTTCGAAAGTCATAATAAATCATCGCTCTTGAATTTTCTCGAGTCAATTCCATTTTCTCAATGACTACACAATTTTGACAAAACCTTGTGACAAGACCAAGCATTTTTTTTAAAATAAATAAATGGTATTCGATTTTTAAAACCAAGGACTTTTCAATTAAAAAAAATTTTATACGACAGGAACAGTGGAAATATTCCATTCCCGATACTTTTAGTGCAGCCCTCGTATATTAAAATTAAATGATTTTGTCACAATCCATGTCACCGTAGGGGATAGGATTGACAACTTACACAAGATTTATTACGTAGTATGTGACTCTATTTATGCCTAGGAATTAATCTGGGTTGGTACCACTTACTTGCATATATGGGAAAGATATAAGGGTGAAACAAGTATAGTCGTTACCAACTGAGGCTTTTCAACCAGTTTCTTGTTAAATCATTATAAACTAAATGTTACTATCTTACATCACTGCTTTATCAATAATTTCTTATTGCAACAAGTAACTGAAAGGGACGAAGAGAGAACGAAGTGTGAAATATGGGTAAATCAAGAATGTCTAGAACAAATAAATGAAATTGTTTACTTGGGGAGTGCTTTTAGCCGGGATGGAAGATGTGATTTTGATGTGGACAGGCGTGTCGCTGCGGGGACAAAGTCAATGGTGCCCTGACTGCGTTAGTCAAAAGGCAAGGCGTGGTGAAGAGTGCACGCCTTGCAATACATAACGCAGTGTTGGTACTGACTTTGTTATATGGCAGCGAAACCTGGGTATGCCAGAAGAAGCATAAAAGCAAGTTGAATGCAGTGGAGATGCGATCTCTTCGTAAAATGTGCGGCGTTACCATGGCCGACCGAAAGCGAAACGAAGAGATTCGCAATATGGCAGTTTTGAAAGATGACCTTATCACGAAAATTGATAAGGGCGTGCTTCAGTGGTTTGAGCACGTTGAGCGAATGAGTGAAGACCGAATGGTGAAGAAAATATATTGCGCGAAAGTTAATATTGAAAGGTGTCGAGGAAGACCGAGACTAACTTTCGAAGACCATGTGAGCATATTGCTCGAAGAGGGTAGGGTCAAGAGTACTCGGATACCTAGACGTGCATGTATGAAGAAGATAATGAATCTGAAAGAAGCGAAAGAGGTATGTAAGGATCGTGACACTTGGCGATCTGTTCTCTCTGGCTACCCCGTCAGGGATTGTGCGTGAAGATAAGTAAGTAAGTAAGTAACAAGTAACAAAAAATTGCTAGAAAGTAAGGTAACTAATAACATGATAGGCTATAGTTACAAGGTGGCAAAACTCAGAACAGTGAAAACATCTAAATTTATAGCAGCACATGAACATTCTGAATAATTATAAAGAATATCTTCATACCCATAATTATGAAGAATATCTTATACCTTTTTTTATTTATTCTTTTTTACTGCCAAAAATTAATCTGTGATTTTATTATTTTTATTAAAGAATTCCTCTCTATTCCGAAGATATCCCGGATGTCAGTCTGAGCGAGATTAGGATGGCTCTCCAGCACCTTAAAAACGGTAAGGCCCCAGGCGAGGATGGAATTACAGCGGAGCTTCTGAAAGCGGGTGGAAGACCGGTACTTGAAGTCCTTCAGAAGCTCTTTAATTCCGTCCTCCATGGTGGCATTACACCGGAGGCGTGGAGCAGAAGTGCGGTGGTCTTGTTCTTCAAGAAAGGTGACAATGCTCTCTTGAAGAACTACAGACCGATTTCCCTTCTGAGCCGCGTCTACGTGCTGTTTTCGAGAGTCATTACGAATCGTCTCGCGCGCAGACTTGACGACTTCCAGCCTCCCGAACAAGCCGGTTTCCGAAAGGGCTTTAGCACCATAGACCACATACATACCCTTCGGCAAGTTGTACAGAAGTCCGAAGAGTACAATTTGCCACTATGTCTGGCGTATGTGGACTATGAGAAAGCCTTTGATTCCGTCGAAATTTGGGCGGTGCTGCAGTCCCTTCAGCGGTGCCAAGTTGACTGTCGGTATATCGAAGTGTTGAAGTGCTTGTACAGTAGGGCTACGATGGCTATCCGAGTACAGAACCAGAGTACGAAACCTATCCAATTGCAGAGAGGTGTAAGACAGGGTGACGTCATATCCCCGAAACTCTTCACCGCTGCATTGGAAGACGTTTTCAAGCTTCTGGACTGGAAAGGATACGGTATCAACATCAATGGCGAGTACATCACTCACCTTCGATTTGCCGACGATATAGTCCTTATGGCAGAATCGCTGGAGGACCTAAGCACTATGCTCAATGACCTCAATAGTGTTTGCCAACGGATAGGTCTTAAGATGAACATGGACAAAACTAAGATCATGTTTAATGTCCATGTCACACCTATGCCGGTAGTTGTTGGGAACACTAAGCTCGAAGTTGTTGACGAGTATGTTTACCTGGGACAAATAGTCCGACTGGGTAAGTCCAACTTCGACCGAGAGATCAATCGACGGATTCAACTCGGCTAGGCAGCGTTCGGGAAGCTACGACACATCTTCTCGTCAGACATACCTCAAAACCTTAAAACGAAATTGTACAACCAGTGCGTGTTGCCAGTGATGACTTACGGAACTGAGACGTGGTCCTTCACTGCTGGCCGTATGAGGAAGCTCAAGGTCGCTCAGCGAGCTATGGAGAGGGCTATGCTCGGAGTTTCTCTGCGTGATAAACTTAGGAATGAGGATATCCGCAGTAGAACCAGAGTGACCGATAGACATAGCCCAACGGATTAGTAAGCTGAAGTGGCAGTGGGCCGGCCATATAGCTCGAAGAACCGACAACCGATGGGGAAGAAAGGTTCTCGAGTGGCAGCCTCGTACCGGTAGGCGAAGTGTAGGGCGTCCCCCCACGAAATGGAGTGACGACCTGGTAAGACATGCAGGAAGTCGATGGATGCAGGTGGCTCAGGACCGTGTTTTGTGGCATTCTTTGGGGGAGGCCTATGTTCAGCAGTGGACTTGTGAAGGGCTGTAATGATGATGATGATTAAAGAATTAAATTTTTTATTAAATAATTAAACATACTTATTATGACTTTTGAAGTTATAAATGTAAGGATTTCATCTTACATTCAATAAATGTATACTAAAATTGCGTTTTTATTGATACAACTCACCAAAAATGAACTTCATTCTAATTTAATTCTGAGAGGTCTCAAAAGGACATCCTGGGTATTTGATAGTGGGTTGTCTCATGGGGCTTTCAGATTGTCAAGATTTCCCAAACCGTGGTACTTCTAGTAGTAAATGCAGATATCCATAGGTTACTTAGCACCAGGTGGATCATAAAACAATTTGTGACTTTAATATAATAAAAAAGCTACTCAAGGTCCCCCATCATCTAATGTGTTACTATGTTTAAGTATTTATGAACAGAAATTTACCATTTTGGCACGCTGCTCGGCAAAAACAACCATAATCTTTGCCCCTCATCTCATCGCTCCACTTTAACATGTCCAAGCGATACTGCTCCTTGTATTTACTGGCACTTAAAAGCTCATCTAAATTCAAATTATTTTCCTTTGCCCAATAACTCTTAATTGGATGGGATATTTTAATGATTTCACATTTATCATTTAACCTGAAAAATAATAAATTAACTACATAATATGTAATGATAATAATGCTCTCCTCGGTTTGATCCAATCCAAAGCTACAACTTACACAACATACTGTTGGAAGGTGTTAACTGAATAGGTCATATTATGAGTGTTACAAGTGACATACTAACACAACTAGTCCTAACAACCCATTTTCCAATGTAACTAATGTTTATGCAATTGGAAGTAGATGAAAATGCAGTGTCAGAGATATGGGGACAATTCAACACAAAAATACCTTGTTTTATTTTATTATTTTACTTAATTAAAAATTACAACATTTGAAAACATTAAATTAAAACCTAACCTAAATAGAAATAACAAATAAACACAAAATGCAATAAAAAAATTCTGCAGAGTAAAAGTTCTCCGTTACCAAAATATTCCAAATAGGTAGTATTCCTCATCCTGCTATATTTATTCCTTGTTATTGGCAACAGCAGTAGCAGTTGAGAGAAAATTGACATCGAACTATAAATGTTTCAGAAATGATAGGTATCACCAGCTAATTAAAGAAATCAGTTTTAAACCAATATAAAGACTAATAACTGTAATTACTTACACTTTCTGCAAGTGATCAGTCAGAAAATCTTTTCCAGATTTCCTTTTCCCACTGAATAACAATATTATCTTAGGCATTTTAACACCAAAGCACCCAACAATAATGTAAACACAAATAATTTGAATTATTTTATAACTTAACGTAACTCAAGTAGTCAGTATATTAGTACTTTTAATTTCATATTATTGTTTATTTGGCGCAAGTTGGTGTGAGTCAATAAAGTTTGTGGGTAATGATGTACAATAATGTACATTTAAATACCATCGAAACAAATAGAAAACAATAATATTCACAAATAAAGGTAGAGTGTACTATTATTCTATTGGAGTTGTCGCGTTATTAGATTTATTACGACAGTATATATTCCATAAGTTTTTACGCAACGTACCCTGTGACTATATCTATGAAAAAACAGGTTTTTTAAATTTATTATAGTCCAAATTAGGGATAATTTAACAATTTTTATTTTAATTGTTATTGTTTTTATTATTCGCTCGAGCGAGCAGGCAAAGGAACTATGCCATACAGCCATGTCTTTATGTATAATTATCCTTCATAGTTCACTGCTTCACAATATGTTGATGCGTCACATTGTGCAGCCCTTGGGAGATTTTGACGGCAACTTGAGCCAGCAGGCAGCTGACAGTTGGCGATGGTATCTAAAGGCGCCAATGCAAACAAACAGCTTATCTTGAAAATCCATCACCATCAGAGCACTTGTTTCACCGTTTCCACTAATAGTTCACATGCGTAGACAGTTCATACATAAAATCGCACCACTTTTACATATCAAAATTCACTTCAAACTATTATTTAAACTATAATACAGGAGCAGCAAACCGCCGCCGATCAAGTTCCCGCCAAAACTCAACAATTTTTAAGTGTCAAAATTAAGCAACAGTGTGAACTTTATTTAACATATCGACTAAAAAATAAAAAACTAACCACCAAATTTTATTAAATAATGATCCAATTTCTACTAAAACATTTAACGCACGTGTATTATAAAAGGAAATGTGGTAGGTATTTAAAAAGGGGTAATATAATATTATATATTTTTATTACATCATGTGTTACGGCCCGCAGCTGCCCCTTCAAAGATCGCCCAGGCTGGGGCCCATAGCAGCCTGCTCGACGGGCAGACATGGGTCGGGCCCAAATGGCCACATGGAAGAATTCCTCTCATACTAAACTATATGGGAGAAGCTAGGAAAATATAGTACTTACCTGTTTCCGACTCTAAGATCGCACCAAGGCTCGGTCAGGCCGTAAGTGGGTGTAAGGTGAATGGCAAGTAATGTTCAGTGATGTGTAAATGTCTGAGACCTGGACCAGCTTAGGCGACCAGCAGCGGCCGAGTTCCAGGCTGCCCACAATGCTGCATCGCTCCAGCAGGCTCCACCGCTGGACCATTTCTTTCTTCATTGTCACTATTTCAGTCTATTAGCTACATTGTACATTTAACTAACTTAAACTCGCCTAATTTCGCATTCATCGTAGGATCGAACACGTGTTACCCGACACAGTACGGACAGTAGTTCGAAATTCGACATTCAATGTCCCGGATTCACTTATCACAAAATTATAAATAGGGAACTAACGCGATCTCTTAATGAGTCATACGGTTCAGCGTTAAACGTAACTAAGTTCCTTCATTCGACACCAAAACACCACGCTGTGAAAAGAATTCAAAACACGCCTCGTTGATACGTAAAACTAACAAACCAGCCAACGCTCAAAAAAGGGCACTTAACGCGGCGGCACAATTATAATGATTTCCAGACAATCAACCGGAAGACGCTCTCAAACAAGGAATGCGCGGTTTGAATCCTAAACCGCATATCTACTCGGCACGTGCGTGCGAAATTCCGCATCACCCGAACAAATTAAATATTGCAAAATTCACATGTCCACGGAGCGAAGTAACACGCACTAAATCTAACCATCCGGACCCCACCGGTCGCGGGAACTTCGGCCGCGACAACCAAGACACGCGGGCTCCCCGCATCGCGGCCAGCGAGCAACTCTTTCTTCACCCACGCGTCGAGCCACTGCAAGCCGCACACGGCCGGCCCACCTGGCGGCGTTTATCTCACCTACATACCATCGGGTGACGCGCCAGCTCAAACGCAATTGGATGGCGTTCAAAATGACCAAATTTGGGCATAAACAAACCCCCGTCCCGGACATAAGGACTTATATCCGCGAGCAAACCGACAAGCGGGACAGGGTCGCGACGGCACGTTGCAAGACCGAATCTACAATCAAAACTAGGCCACCTTAGGCACCCCATCAGATCTTCCAACCCTAGTCACCGCCTCAAAAAGACAGCCCCAATGTGGGCAATTCGGAGGGTCAACCTCCACTGGATGACCCTCCCGGGCCTCGCAGCACCTTAAGAAATACTGTACTGGACAGAAGTACGACGACCTCTTTCAAACACCTATCTGTGCCCCTATGATTCGTTCGGCAATCCGACCGGATCAGGTCTGCAAACAGCGACGCGACACGAAGCGGCCCAGCGTGGCTTCCTAAGCTTCAGTGCAGAAAGCACCCACAAATTCCACATGAGCGGCGTCTGTGGAGAGCCAAACGAAACGCACAGATAGTCCTTAATATGAATTTTCAAACAGTAGGCATAATCAAGCCATCTGCTATATAACTATTTACTTAATTGTGCAGTAGCTGATTTCAATCTGATAATCTCCAAACTAGCCAGCCTTTTAGACAAGTAGTCCTATGCTCATATTTCAACTAATTTTCAAAAGCAACAATGTTCAACCACAGAATTAATTAAAACAAATTAATCACCGATGCACATAGGTCAAACTGACAAATTAAACAAAACGATAAACGTAAGAGACAGCCCTATTTCTCATTTCAAATAAATATCTTAGACAGTGCCAACAAAATGTGAAAACCAAAAGAGGAATGACTCTTATTCCTTTTGGCACAAATAGGGTTATCCAATTTCAATTTTCTTTTCAACAAAACACAATGATCAAACACAATCACAAAAACATATGCACAAGCATTCAAAGGGCACATCATTCAATTTCAATTTTCCTTTCACCAAAACAAACACAATGATCAAATACAATTACAGAAACATATGAATAAGTATTCAAACACGGGTTTATCTCACCTACATCGGGTGACGCGCCAGTTCGAACGCAATTGGATGGCGTTCAAAATGACCAAATTTGGGCATAAACATCATGTATATCACTTATTGTGCAGAAAAATATTAAATGTTTCTAATTTAGTAACACAACACAAAATAAGTACTCATGAAACATAATATAATAAAATAATTTCAATGGTTCAGAAAAAAATATGGATATAAACTTAAGGTTTCCACTGATTATACCGCCTTATTTTTTGCCGTGTAGTGGCGGTTAAGAATATCCACTACCCCATATCTTCCCGTGGGTGTCGTAAAAGGCGACAAAGGGAAACAGGCAGGAGATGGGCAGCAGCATCTTCCTGGTAACGACAAAATAAAATAAAAAACTGCGGTTGCCAACCCGCTCGCCAAGCGTGGCAACTATGGCAATATACCCCCCATAATGAAAGTTACGAAGAGACGGCCCCCAGTCCCCGGCGGCCCCGCTATTCCTGGCTACGGTGGCGACCATGGTAACGGCGGGGCAGGGGGTGCTAAGAATCTCCGGTGGAGGTTCGGTTGCCACCTACAACGACTCGACCTGGCAACATACAACGCACGCACCCTGAGGACTGACGAGAAGATTGTGGAGCTGGAAGAAGAGATAGACAAGTTACGCTGGCATATTATAGGATTATCCGAAGTCCGAAGAGAGGGGGAGGACACGGTAATCCTCGAATCCGGCAACTTGCTCTATCACCGGGAGGGCGACCATCTGTCCCAAGGAGGTGTCGGATTTATCGTCCACAAGTCTCTCGTTAACAACGTTGTAAAGATTGAGAGTGTGTCGACGAGGGTTGCGTACCTTATACTCAGAATCACCAAACGGTATTCGCTGAAGGTCATACAGGTTTACGCACCAACCTCGGCACACCCCGATCAGGAGGTGGAGGAAATGTATGAGGATATCTCTAGAGCCATGCATTCCTCCAAAACCCAATATACGGTGTTAATGGGAGACTTCAATGCAAAACTAGGCACAAGAGAGAACGGTGAGCTGAAAGTGGGGAAATTTGGAATAGGGCAACGGAACCCAAGGGGCCAGCAGTTGGCCGACTTCATGGAGAAAGGGGGACTCTTTATGATGAACTCTTTCTTCCAGAAGCGGCCCCACAGGAAGTGGACCTGGTCGAGCCCCGACGGTTCGACAAAAAATGAGATTGACTTCATTATGACGACCAGACGACAACTGTTCAGTGATGTCTCAGTGATCGCGAGGGTGAAAACCGGCAGCGATCACCGAATGGTTAGAGGCACACTGAACCTAAACGTTAAGTTGGAGAGGTCTCGTCTAATGAAGTCAACGCTCCGTCCCCCTCGTGCTCTAATCCAAAGTCCCGAAACCTTTCAGCTCGAGTTGCAAAACCGTTTTCAGTGCCTAGAAGACTGCAATGAAGTGGACGATTTGAATGACAAGCTCGTGGAAACTGTCCATGCGGTCGGAGCTAAGTTCTGCAAGACCCGCCGCAGAAGAACACAAAAACTCTCCGATCACACTCTTAATCTCATGGCTGTTAGACGGGAGATGAAGCTACATTCTTCAACAGATTTGACAGCATACAGGCAACTGAACAGACAGATCTCCAAATGCATGCGGCGGGACTTACGCAACTTCAATACAGCTCGTATTGAAGAAGCGATCGAGCGGAACCAAGGCTCCAAAGTCTTTGCCAGAGATCTGTCTGCCAGAAAGAGCCAACTGTCAAAGCTGAAGACCGAATGTGGCAGCATCGTTTCCGGGGCACCTGAGATTTTGAGTGAGATTGAGAGGTTCTATGGGCAGCTGTACACGTCATCGTTGGAGCCACACGCAAGTGTGAGTAACGATCCAAGAGCGAGTCTTATCCGACATTATTCCGATGATATCCCGGACGTCAGTCTGAGCGAGATTAGTATGGCTCTCCAGCACCTTAAAAACGGCAAGGCCCCAGGCCAGGATGGAATTACAGCGGAGCTTCTGAAAGCGGGTGGAAAACCGGTGCTTGAAGTCCTTCAGAAGCTCTTTAATTCCGTCCTCCATGGTGGCATTACACCGGAGGCGTGGAGCAGAAGTGCGGTGGTCTTGTTCTTCAAGAAAGGCGACAACGCTCTCTTGAAGAACTACAGACCGATTTCCCTTCTGAGCCGCGTCTACGTGCTGTTTTCGAGAGTCATTACGAATCGTCTCGCGCGCAGACTTGACGACTTCCAGCCTCCCGAACAAGCCGGTTTCCGAAAAGGCTTTAGCACCATAGACCACATACATACCCTTCGGCAAATTGTACAGAAGTCCGAGGAGTACAATTTGCCACTATGTCTGGCGT